TATATATATATATATATATATATATATATACACACGTTAAACATGAAGCTACGAAAGTAAATTAAGAGTTAGGCCTAAAATATAGTTTTGTGAACTTTTCAACCAATTAAAAAAGAAAGGATTTTTTTTTTTTTTTTTTTTGGTTAAGGGGAATATAATGTCAAAAAAACTTCAACATATAAAAAAACATAAGTCTCCCCAATCTGGTTAAAACATAATGAGTTGAAAAAATTATATAAATTTATTTTTAATCATTAGGTTGACTTATCTACACGTACCTATCTCTAAGTCTAAGATTGAGAAGAATACATAGATTGTTGGCACATAAAACTGGTCTATATATCATCAAGGAGTGTGATTTGATAATAGTGTGGGGAGTGGTTTTCCAAGGGATCATGTCATGTTTCAATCTCTCACTATCCTCATGCATATTACTAGTACGTCATTTAAATTCCTCTTGGTATCAGGCTCGGGACTGCTAGCTGGCTTGAAAATGTTCAATCGGTGTAATCTAAAGCGACCGATTCAGCTGGTAGATTACCATTTACGAGCTCCACATAAACCATTGTCCCAAAAAAAAAAAAAGAAAAACAAAGAAAGGCAAATCAAACTGGTCGTACTTTGAAAAACTCCTCTCTAGAATGAATTAATCGCATTAGTCGGCCCAGCAATATTAAAAAATTAGCACATGCTTGACTTGAGATGCTTTTGGTTACAAAGATGTACGAATAGTCAAAGGATAATCAAGTCTTTTAACTTGGTCTATTTTTTAATAACAGCAAGCTTGCATTAATCTATTTTTATTTAATTAACAAGTTTGCTCCTTATGTGCTTAAATAATATATTTTAACGTCACAACACTCGAGAATGATATGAATAATACCAACTGTTTTGGTATCGTTAAATCATTATGAACATAATTTTTTGAAGCTATCATAATTATTTTATAATTTTTAGGAAGAAATAATCTGTTTATTAAATTAATATTTTTTTTTCAATTCACACACACATATACATAATGCTTAAAGAAACAGGAGTCAAATAAATAAGTAATAGTTAATAAGGACTAACCTAAAATATCAAGAACTAACACAAAACTTTTTTCATCCAACGTGGATCCATCATGTTTTCCCACGCGGCACTATGGCATTGCCAAAGTATGTCGTACAATCATTTCAGAGATGTTCGTACCTTTAATGCTTCGCATTAATGGCCGAGAACTTGGTCAGGACTTTTCAATAACAAGCTAGGCCAAGCACTGAAGTAGATTGAGTTTTCAAAGACGTCAAAATAGACCAATGCCTATTAAAGTTTGCGAAAGCTAGCCTGCATCCTTCTTGCATTCCTTGGTTTCCTCCAGATTCCAAGCTGTCATTGGAGACAGATTGGACAATATCCATTTTGCATGATAACCAGGACTCGCCGCACCGCGTACTACTTAGTCCATCCAACTGGATTCATAGTTTAAGTTTACTTGTGTTAACATTAAACAGGGTATAAATAAGCAAGTAAAATTAAGAGTTGGGACTCTCATGTAAATAAAATTAAGTGTTGGGACTCGTATGTAGTTTGGTGAACGTTTCATCAGACTTGTGCACTGATAAAAAAGAAAGAGAGGAATTATTGTTATTTTGTGGTTAAGTAATATATAAATTTGAACAAACTTAGGCGTATAAAAAATAAGTTCATCTATCTTTTTTTTATTTAAAACAAGAATTAATTGGAAATTTTAAAAGATTTTATGTTTCACAATAGTTAATAGAAAATATTAAAATGGCTTTACAAAGTTAAGTATCACTTTAAATACGTTCTAAAAATATTGAAAATTCAATCCTAATTTTACTCGACAATAAGTTAATAACCAGTTTACTTTAAAACTATACAAGACATAAAAATTCAATTAAATTAAAAAATCTTATGACTCTTCAATAAATGTTTATATGAATTTTAAATAATTTTTTACATCATGGTGGATCCAAGATTAAAAAAAATAGTAAATTTCTGGTTTCTTATAGTATTGAGCTTGATCAAATTCATTTGGTTTCAAAAATAACTATTGTTTACCTTGAAGAGCACAATAGAACCAAACCTCCCAAATAGCACCTTGCTAGTAGTGTATGGCATGATATATGCCTTAAAACCTGGACCTCTGTTTTTCACAGATGAGAAATAAATTGTGTGCTTACGATCTTAATCTGGTCTTATCTTAATAATCTAGATAATTTGAATAATACTCGTATTAATAGTGTGATGAAATAATAATAATAGTAGTGATGGTAAAAGAGTTGAAGAAAAAAAATGATAGATAAAGAAATTAAAAGTGACTATAAACAATTAAAAAATATATAAATAATTAAATCAATGTATTTTTTTTTAATTTTTCGTATTAAATGATTGATTAAATTATATTAAGAATTATAAATAGTAAAAATATAAAATGAATATGAAAATTTATATAAATATTTATTATTTTATAAAAACAATTCAGGATAAAAAAATTAGCAATGAATTTTTGTTGACGGAAAGTTAAAAATAGTTTTTAACGGATTACCAATAAAAGCAATACGTGTTTGACTTGAGATGCTTCCCGAATAGTCAAAGAGCCTCATACTTAAAAATTGCTAACATGCCATCCTCCTCTACTATAAGATGGGGGTGGGCCTTCTTGGTTTTCTGTAAGTGCATACTTAAAAGCTAGTAGACAAGCAGCTACTAAGTTCTTCCAATCCTATGGAACGGTCATTGTTCTTCTCCCTTTTCTTGCTCTTCTCAATACCCATCATTGCCCAATCTACTGTCCCTCCTTCTTCCCAATTTAAGAAAGTCAATTTTGGAGAGTGGGCGGAAGCCATTTCAGAGTATAGATCAGATTTTCGTGCCCTGGACATCGCTGCTTCCGTTTTCCAAGTTTGCTTCTATAACACCACCCCTAATGCATTCACTCTCGCTATACGTATGGGTACTAGGAGGTCACCTGCAGTGAGGCGTTTTGTATGGGAAGCCAACCGAGGCAACCCAGTTGGTGAAGATGCCACTCTCGCTTTCGGTGAGGATGGAAACCTTATCTTGGCTGATGCCGATGGCAGAGTTGCTTGGCAAACCAACACTGCCAATAAAGGTGTTGTGGGCTTGAAAATGCTGCCGAATGGGAACATGGTGCTTCATGACGCTAAGGGCAATTTCATCTGGCAAAGTTTTGACTATCCTACTGATACTCTTCTGGTGGGTCAATCTCTTCGTGTTGGAGGAGTAACCAGGCTTGTGAGCCGAGCCTCTGACAAGAAAAACACAAATGGAGCCTATAGCCTGGTATTAGAGCCCAAAAGAATAGCCATGTACTACAAGAGTCCCAACTCTCCCAAACCATACATCTACTACACATCCGATTTGTTTAGTATTCAGAAAGGGCGTCTACAATATGTGAGGCTGATCAACTCGGCTAATGATCTCCGTCTTCAGTTCTCTACTGGTGGTGGACCCTTGCTTTCTAGACCCAATTTCAACAGCACATTGTCATTTCTTCGACTTGGGGTGGATGGGAATCTCAGAGTCTACAGTTTCAACGACCAGGTAACTTCAGCTTCTTGGGAAATGACTTTCACACTTTTTTCTAAGGATGTAGGCGTCTGGGAAAGTGAGTGTCAATTGCCAGAGAAATGTGGCAAGCTCGGACTTTGTGAAGGCAGCCAATGTGTTGGTTGCCCATCACCAAATGGGTTTAGGAATTGGACCAAGAAGTGTGAACCAGTGAAGTCATCTGTATGTGACAAGAATTTTTATTACCATAAACTGGAAGGGGTTGATCATTCCATGAGCAAGTACGGAAATGGAAGTGGACCAGCGACGGAGAATGATTGTGAGAAGAAATGCTCAAGTGAATGCAAGTGTTCAGGTTACTTTTACAACACAAAGACATCTAAGTGTTGGATTGCTTATGATCTCCAAACTCTGACCAGGGTTGCAGATTCTACACATGTGGGTTACATAAAAGTACCGAATCACCAATGAAAGATGGCCCGCTGGTTTTCACTGATAAATATAATGAGATAGTTGTTGTCATTTTCTTATACGTACGTGTTTAGTTGGTGTGGCTTATCTAGTTTATTGCAGGGTGAAATTTGCGGCGCACTGTTTGCTCGCAAGCGTCTTGGTCAGACTTTGATCTTGCTATTTCTCTGTAACCGAAAAATAAATGGTAGTAATAAAAACATTTTGAGTTTTCCACGTTCCTCTTTTTTTACTTTTTACATTCTATATTACGATATTAGCGTCTTTCGCCAACAGTAATTAGTTGAAGGATCAGTCCCAGATTTATTCAGGACCGATATTTGCACTAAATGTCTTGTAAAAATAGATTCTCATATTCCTATAAAATAGTATTGCTCTTTACTTATGATGCAACATGAGACACTCGAATAAAAGAAAAATAATAATAATTCAGTCCATGAGACGCAGCAATAAAGAGAAAATAAACATACATGGATTCGTGTTCCAACTTTATTTAGAATTTGTCAAACTCAAATAATATAAATTACAAGAACATAAAGTACAAGCTTTTTAAGCACTTGAAAGATGTTTTGCAAAAGAAAGCCTTTACACCGCAACTGCAGTATTCAGAGGCTAAAAGCTACCATAATATAAACAGTCTCATCCTTTTGTGATGTGGTTGATACTCAACGAAACATAACGCATGCATGAGGCCACAACCAGAATTTGAAACCCATGATAATTAACGGTTTGCCATAAAAATAAAAAGATTCAAACCAGGACTTAGAAGAGATCATATACAAAACGAGTGTAGATCATCGAGATGCTGCCATAATTGATCTTTCTCATATGATGACAATGAAAATAATTGCAAGATTTGACCAATGCAAAGATTTTGCAAATCATTTAAACAACTCAAGTTACAAAACTTTACAACAGATTCTGAAGACAAGGCCACAAACAGCACAGGCTCCACAGCAGAAACACAAATCCATAAACACCAATTATCACCACTAGTTTGCCTGCCCGCGACTTCGACTTCTCTTTTCCTCGATACCTGACTGAAAAAATCTCTTCCGTAGAACTTCTAGCACCTCTTCTAATTTTACACCTTTAACGGCCATTAGAACCATTGCATGATAAAGTACATCCCCCATCTCAGAGACAGTACGTGTGTTGTCCTCATTCTCCTCTAGTGTTCGGCATAATTCATCTGCCTCTTCCCTATAAAGCAAAATAAAGGATGGTAAAGATCTAAAACTCGAAGATTAACAAGAATCTTATAATACTAGATGGCAAATAATTAGTGTTCAGCAGATTTCATCTGCCTTTCCCTTTATTTGTGAAATTACAAGGGCAATCAATTAACAACAGAGTATAAAATAGCTCCCTTATATTTGATATTCTGAATACTTCTGAGATCTATATGAAGCTTTCTGGAAAGCAAGAGAATAGGAACCATTACATAGCTCAGTACCTGATTTTTGAGCAGAGTAAGTCGTGATCGAGTAGTAATCGTTTAGTCCAAGAGGGTTTTCCAGTTTGTGGCAATGCTAATTTAGCATTGCGCTGGGTAATGGTGTTTTCCAATGAGTACAAAGTTGTAGATGCCAACTTAGTTCCCTCAACCTACCATGAATGATCAAAATTGGGGCATCATTCATAATTAAAATATAATAGAAATGCTTTTGATAGTCACCTGTTTATTTTCTAAGAAGTCAAGAGCTGATGTGTAATAACATGTTTCTGACCCTGTGTGACAGGTAGGTCCATCCGGCTTCCCAAGGTAAATTATCTGCAAAAGAGCATAATTAAATCACTTCCAAGCACAATAAAAGATGAGCACTAAAGAATTTCCTACTACAGGTTATTAAGAACATACAGAGTCCCGGTCACAATCAAGAAAGATGTCATGAACATTGATGAAATTTTTTGACGTTTCTCCTTTTGTCCAAAGTGCTGAACGTGACCTACTGTAAAATGTTGCCTTCTGAGAGGAAATTGTTGTGGCTAGTGCATCGCTGTTCACAAAGCCTTGCATTAATATTGCTCCTGTGTCAATATTTTGAGCTATTCCCACCGCCAAACCTTTTTCGTCCCATTTTATACTGTCCAACAATGTCTCAACCTAAATTCAAACAATTAGATATATCTATTTCCAATTGTTTGTATGGACAAGTCAGACATCAATTTGGTGGTGGGGGGTGGGGAACAATTGGTGCATATAAACAATCAACGAATATAATAAAACAGATTGACAATTCCGTATGACATGGGATGAGATTTCCTGCTGATCCTAGATAAAACAGACAATTGGGAATAATAGAACAGGTCGAATTATTATGATATGCAACCTCTTGAAAAAAAAAACTGAACTTAATTTCCATTGGCTGGAAATCATGTTCGTATAATATCAGGTAGCCATCAAAAACAAAATGCCAGAACAAGCTTTAAAGCCACAGGCCACTTGTTCGACATTGACAAAACAAAAAATGGGCAGGGCCACATTCCCAAATAATATGAAGCCGAATATGTGCAGTATAAGATTTGACATGTAGAATCCAGATGTAGCTCAAATAACAATCAAAGGTATATTATTGGGCAACGATGGACACTTTCAAGAGGGGTAATAAAAAGACAGATGGGAAACCCCATCAATCAAATTTCCTTCTCTCTCTTTAATTTTCCAGACATGTAACAATCTCTACCACAATAAACACAGTAGACATCTGACTTATGTCTGGTCCAAGATTGAACTGACAAATGGGAAATAATAGCATGAGAGGAAATTGCCATTGCTAGTGCATCCCTGTTCACAAAACCTTGCATTAATATTGCTCCTGTGTCAATATTTTGAGCTATTCCCACAGCCAAACCCTTGTCATCCCATTTTACAATGTATAACAATGCCTCGACGCAAAATCAAACAATTAAATATTTCTATTTTCAATTGTTTGTGTGGACAAGTCAGACTTCAATTTAGGGTGAAAAAAACAATTGATGCATATAAAGAATTAGAGAATATAAAAAAAAAAGATTTACAGTTCCTTGTGACATAGGATGAGATTTCCTTCTGGTCCCAGATAGAACCAAAAATTGGGAATAATAGAACAGCCTGACTTATTATGATGTACAGCCTCTTGAAAAAGAAACAAGAACGAAAAAAACAGAACTTAATTTCCATTGGCTGGAAATCAAGTTTGTACATATGCCATTAAAATCAAAATGCCAGAACAAGCTTAAAGCCACAAGCCCCTTGTTTGACATTGACAAAATAAAAAGGCCAGGGTCACATTCCCAAATTATATGAAGCCGAATATGTGCAATATAAAATTTGACATGTAGAATCCAGATGTAGCTCAAATAACAATCAAATGTATATTATTGGGCAACGATGGACACTTTCAAGAGGGCTAAAAAACCAATGGGAAACCCCATCAATCAAATTTCCTTCTCTCTCTTTAATTTTCCAGACATGTAACGATCTCTACCACAATAAACACGGTAGACATCTGACTTATGCCTGGTCCAAGACTGAAAGGATTAATGCAAAATAATAGCATGACTTGAATTATTTGAGATCTACAGCCTTACACGCAAAGAAACCACAAGAAAAACCAAAAGAACTTGGCTGGAAATCAACTTCACAAACAAATCGAACTAGTCATTAAACCAAATATCAAAACCAGCTTAAGCTACCGCAGCATTTAAGCAGTATCATCATCATGATTTTAAAGAATAGCAAAGTTATCAGGAAATGCCAAGGGAAAATAAACCTAGGAACTTTCAATTATGGTTCACAGCCAACAAAGTTGATCTATATGAACCATTTTAAAATTGAGTAAGTTCTGTAAATCCATTAAATGTATTTTTAGTGAAATCAATTTACCCACTAGGAATAGATTATAGGTACAGGAAAGCAACAATTTGTTTCATAAACCAACAAACACCAAAACTTTTTCTTCCATCATGACGGGATACAGAGATATAACAAACAGAAAGCAAACAATCAAACACACATGACATAACAAGTCTTTTTATCATTGCAATCAAAGACTGCAAATTCAGTTGGCCAAAGCAAGAGTTCATAATAATGCTATCACCGAAAAAACAAATTAGTAAAGGCACTTCTATTTGCATATATTATCAGCACAAAAGCGCCATTGTTCAAAAAGTCAATATTCTTATGTGTCTGGCCTTGTTCCTTCTATTCGCAAAACATTCCAGTTAAAAAAATTCATTCTCGTGGGTGCAGTTGAATATGTGCCATATAAAATTTGACATATAGAGTCCAGATGTAGCTCAAATAACAATCAAGTGAATATTATTGGGCAACGATGGACACTTTCAAGAGGGCAAAATGACAAATGGGAAATCCCATTAATCAAATTTCCTTATCTCTCTTAAATTTCCCAGATATGTAACGATCACTACCAAGATAAATACGGTAGACATCTGACTTATGTCTGGTTATAAAATCTTTGGAAGACACTATCAAAATGTGTCATTACAAGCAAAAAGGCATAATTGTCTTTTTGAAGTACCTTTGACTGAAGATAGAGTTCTTTATCAGATTTTTTGTCAGCAGAAGCAAAAACTAGATGACCCCTTTGCTTCTTCATGATAACACTATCTCTATTGTAATCACCAATAGGAAAGGAAACATGGGTTCTTGATGGGAACCTTAGAGCTTGAATACAATGAAAGGCAACCATTTGAAACACAAATATGAAAGTTCTCTACTCTTTGCTTGCGCCCATGTCAACAATCCTGGAAGCAAAAAAGTAGTAACAAACAGCATTTAACTCATGCTTGATTAACAAAATGAAATCTTTTTTGCTTACCAACAAACATGTTCGTTATCAAGCAAAAAAGAAGCAATGGAGATTACCTTCAGCAAGCAGAGCAGCTTGTCTAATGCTGAGTACAGCCGTCACGTTCCGCGACGACTAGGGTTTCACTTTGAAAGGGATGGTAGAGTCGGGTTTTAAAGAGGGGAAACGGTCGAAAGACGGATTAATAAGGCTTAATGAAGTCCATTAGGCACGTGGCCTTGACATTTAAGAGCCCAATTTACTTACTACATCTTCGCTTCTTAATGGGTTTCTTCTTACAAAAGCCCAATCGTTTCACACCACTCACCCTTGGTGCTAGTTTAGCATTGCGGCAGCAATGGGAATATAGTAAGGCTTAGGAAGGAAAAAAAACACTTAGAAGAAAAAAGGGTTTAGCCTGTAATTGATTCTTGTACATTTTTAATTTTTTTAATTGACATTCTCTATTATTTTTCAGTTTCATTGAACTCTTTTACTCCTATAAATTTATTAATTGAAACCTTCCATTATAACGCCGCTAACTATTTATCATACCCGACAAGTTAAAACTAATAGTAGCCAATCGGATAATGACACGTGGTAAATGTTTTTAATTCGTATTTTCACATGTTAGTTTCTGGTTGGCACGTGGGATGAATAATTAACATGAGTATAACAAAGGGTCTCAATTAATAAATTTATAACGATAAAATGTTTTAATCAAGATGAAAAATAATAGAGGGTCTCAATCAAAAAAATTTAAAACTATATAGGAACCAATTATGGGATAAACCCAAAGAAAAAACTGAGTTTGAAAAATATTTGATAACATTTGTTGTTGAATATAATGTTGTTCCAAAAATATTAGTAAAATAGTATAACAATGCATGCATCGTTTGCAAAATCAAAATAAAGGATATACATATATATATGCAACAATAGAAACTTCATTGAATTGAAAATGAAAAAAGCTTTTATATTTAGATTTAAAACCAACTAGTATATAAATGGATTCCGTGAGCATAGAGAATGAAATAGGCTTACTCAACACATTAAGAATGTCCAAAAGCTTACTTATAAACTAAAAATTTAGGGTTCAAATCTAAATTATAAAAATTATTTACAAGTAGACATATAGCTAACGCTCTTTTCAACAAACCACTAACTCTATTATTTTGATCTTTCACTTGATAGTCTTTTTCTTAAACAAAAATCTGAAAATTAGTTTATTAATAATCTATGAAAAACTTCTATTACAAGCACAAAGACCTATGAAAGGGCATAAAAGAAGAAAAAAATCAAATAACAATCATAAGCTTAAAAAATACCAAATGAATTAACAAACAATAGGTAAAAAAAAACATTCATATCTAGTTATAACGCTACAACAAAAGATAGAATTAGAGACCATTATTTAGTGACGGTTTTGACGAAGAATCCGTAACTCTCCAAGTAAACTCTCGTAAATTTCATTACATTTAGGAATTTTAGCGATGGTTTTGAAAAGCTGTCTCTAAAAAACACACAAATTCACGACGATTTTGTAAAACCCTCGCAAAAATAATCGGTTTATCGATGGTCTAGGTTAAACCATCATAAAAAATGTATGTATTCGAGTGACGGTCTAGTCGGATCATCACGGATCCCATTGAATTTGGGTTTTTTAGCAACGGTTTCCCAAAACCATCGCTAAATAATGATTTTGGATGAATTCGGCAGCGATTTTAACAGAGTGTCTCTAAATTCTCCAAAAGAAACTCCAAAGGATACTTTTAGGGAATTTAGTGATAGTATAATTAAACCGTCACAAATCAAACAAAATTTTGATGTTTTTTACCGACGAGTTTCTTTTGGTGACGAGTTTTGAGCAAGCGTCGTCAAAAAAACTATTTTTCAACACAATTAGCGACGGTTTTAGGACATAAAATTAGCAACGGTTTTAGTAGACCATTGCTAATTTCTCTTAAAAATGCTAACGGATACTTCTAGAATATTTAGCAACGGTCGACTTAAAATTTGCTAAAGGGGGAAATTAGTGACAGCTTTTAATAGAGCATCGTTAAATTCCTCCAAAAATGCTAACAAATACTTTTGGGATATTTAGTGACGATCGCTTAAATCGTCACTAAATGGAGAAATTAACGACAATTTTAATAGATCATTGCTAAATTCTCTTAAATATCTATGGGTTTTTAGTAGTGATGATTTAGAAAAAATTATTGCTAAAATCCATTAAAAAATGGGGTTTTCAGCAATAATTTTGAAAAAAACCGTTGCTAATTTCTCTCATTTTGGGTGACTTTTAGCAATGGTCTTGCTAAATATCATCCCCGGAGAGAAAAATTAATTTTTTTAAAAAAGAGGGATTTTACATTTAGCGATGGTTTCAAAATCGTCACTAAATGCAAAATCCCTAAATTGGTTGCAAACATTCTTTTCCCTTTTTTTTCCTTCTCTTCTCTTTTTTCTTCTTCACCAACATCTCTCGCCCCTCCAACTCCTACCAAAGTTCTTCACTCTCCGGCATTAATTGACATCAAAATAAAATACTAATAATGTTGTACGTAAATGAGAACTTAGGAAACTTCATGGAAATTATAAGGTAAGTGGACTTAGGAAATTTCATGTAAGCTCCCTGGAATTATAGAAAATTTAATTAGGTGAAGTAATTAAAGATGGCCATCCGAGTGGCAAAAATCTCAACCCTTCACATTGATCCATTCAGCCAAGACAAGGAAAGAAAGAAGATGAGCATTCAAGTTAGTTTAGTAACATTTTAATCTTGATAGACATAGACTAATTTAGATAAATATCTTAGCTTAAATAATTCATACATTTGATAATTTTATAAGCTTCCTTGCACTCATTAATTCGACCAAGAGAAGAAAAGAATAAGGAAGAAAGTTATAGCTTAATTTAAAGAAATATCTAAGAAGGAAATTCTAGAAAATTTAACTTAGCTAAGTAAATAAAATCCACCATCCATGTGTCTTACCAAATGGCAAAATCTTGGCTCCCCGATTTACTTCATTAGACCAAGAGAAAGAATAAGGAAGGGAAGAAAATTCTAGCTTCCCGAGTCAACAAAATAGGTATAAATAAAGAGAGGATTAAGTAAGCTAATTTTGACAAAAATTAGGTTAACTAAACATCAAAGCATTGGAAGCAAAACTGATTTGGTGAAAGAGAAGCAAGGTTGGTCGAAAGTTTGAGAGAGGGAAAATTGGTCAAAAGGTTAGAAAAGGAATTAAGCAAGCTTGGCCAAAAATTTGCAAGGAAAGAGATGAGATCTTTATGAGCTATTCAAGTTTCCTCAACTCTAACGAGACTCCATGTAAGTATAATCAAACTCAACTACATCACAAAGCATAGCAATTATGGAAATTATTATGTTTAAATGCTTAATTAGTGCTTGATTATGTGTGATGGTTTGATTGTTGTTGAAGTAATGATTGATCCTTGAATATGTTATGTTGAATTAATGATTGATTATGAGGTTAATTGATAATTAAAAGATGAAAATAGCTTAAAACATAATTTAGTAGTCTTAGGGGTGTTGAATTTATGAAATTAATGAATTGTTAAATATTAGTGGGTTTTGTTAATAAATTCAGCTAAGGAATAAAAGTAGGGTTAATTGATCTAATATTCCTATGTATATTGATATTCATGTTAGTTTAGGATTATGTACTTTTGTGATGATGTGTTTATGTGGTATTTAAATGATTATATGCTTGGATAGGTCAATGAATTGTTCTTGACATGTTTTGACCTATTGATAATTTTGATGTTTTTTTTTATGTTTGTTCATATAATAGTTTTATTTAATTGATTGTTATGTTGTTATTTAATGATACATAGTTAATCGATACTTGTATTCATATTGCCAATCATTTGACCAAAACCCATGTACAGGTGAACAATTGATTATTTGAATGATTGATTGTTAGTTCCTTGTTGATTGAGTCATGGTGTGATGTTTGGATGAATTTTGACTTGGTTCATGATTAAAGAGACTTATATTAATGTCCTTGTATTCACTTGAAAGTAGCTTGTTAAGATTCGACTCGCATAAATTGAAGTGAATTAGTGATATTTTCATGTGTTTAATAAATGGTTGTGCAATTGTTATGTTACTTGATGTCGTTGATATGTTCTTATTTAATGTTATGTGGCTAAATGTTATGTGTTTTATTAGTAAGTGAATTCGACCTACATGCGTAATTAAAGTTCATGAATTATGTGTTATGTTATTTTATCGCATTCACATCATGAAAATGTTTTCATCATGTTTTATGCATTCAAAGGCAAAGACAAATGCATGGTTTTCGAAAAAAAAAAAAAAAAAGATCATGGCTAAACATGTTCAATCATGGCTTTCAAGGAGCGTGATCAACTTTTTTTAATCGTCAAAGGCTCCACGGGAGACATGTCTAGTGGTTTTTATAATTTTCATAGTCATGGTTTTTATAGAAGGTCGAATATATACAAATTCAACAAAGTATGCCCGATCATAGAAAATGTTTTCCAAAGTCATGAATTTTTTTTTTTGCATCATGCATACATGATTACATTTACCGAGCATTAGCTCACTAGTTGTCTAATGATGTGCGTTGACATGGTGTGAAGTTGATGATGATGCCAAAAGGAGTCGAGCTTGTCGAATGTGTACCGTAACTATAGTTTAAAAGTTACACGTTTAGATAATTTCTATCTTTCATGTTTTAGTACTCTTTGTTAACTTAGTATTTAATAAATAAATGAATGATTTTGAGATAATTATAAATTATTTTGGTGGTTTGATAGGTCTAATAAAATGATTAAATAACAATAATTAATTAAAATGGTTCCCGATAATTTAATAAATGGTTAAACAAGAAATGAATTCTAAAGTTCAATAA